TTCCATACCCAGAAACATGCTAGTAAATCTCTTCTGAACCCTCTCAAGTTTAATAATATACTTCCTATAACTGGGTGACCAGAGCTGGACACAGTTTTCCTACCTCATATTTATCTAAATTGATCTCCATCTGCCACTTTTCATGCATCAAAGATGACTGTTGCAAGCAGAAGCGTGAATTGTTCTCATCGGCACTGAAATAACTCCACAGAGGCCAGCATCTCATCACCGCATCACCCTTTATTTACGCATGGAAAGGGTGGACACTTTGGGGTCTCAGGAGTTTAGGCTCACCAGTGGGATAAACGTGATTTTGAAGTACTGCTGGTTGTTCCCACTTGCTGTACCTGGTGTCTCAACAAAGACTTCAGACTGTGTAGACCTTCAGTCTGGGTTGAGTCCGCTGATACAGTAAGATGCATAGTGGATTTATCAGGTCAGTACTTGGTTTTCCTTACTTTGTGGTGGTTTTTGTGAGCCAGTTTTCACCTCAGGATGTGCCTGAGGCCTTGTGGTGTCAGTCAGGTCAGTGGTTTTCGGAGATTGTCTGTTGTTCAGTCTGTAGGTAGTGGTCAGTTGCTATTGGTTCCCCTATTGTGGAACAGGCCTGTGACAGGAGGTTTCGGAATTGCTGTCGGGATCCCTCTTCTGGAGATAGTGGTGCAGATAGCTCTCGGGGCAGTACCTCTTTGGGATCCCTCTCCTGGGGGTAGCTGAGGGGAGATAGCTCTCTCAGGGGAGATGCAATTAAACTAATTGTGGGCCTCTTTCTTCACACCAACACTGAACTTGCCATTGTCTTACTGGTGTTCTCTTTAAAGTCAATTGGCGTCCTGAGAGTTAAGAGTATGTGTGAATGCATTTTGATTGAAGTTGAATGCCTGATGTGTGTGAATGTAGTCTGTGTGAATGTACATCTCAGATGTCCTTGTTTTTCAAGGACTGCAACAACCCCCCCGCCTCGGTGGTTGAGAACGCCCTCAACCGTGTCTCCCGCATTTCCCGCAACACATCCATCACACCCCCTCCCTGCAATAACAACCAAAACAGAATCCCCCTCATCCTCACGTACCACCCCACCAACCTCCGGATCCAACGCATCATCCTCCGACACTTCCGCCATCTGCAATACGACCCCACCACCAAAGACCGTTTTCCCTCCCCACCCTTATCTGCTTTCCGGAGGGACCACTCTCTCCGTGACTCCCTTGTCCACTCCACACTCCCCTCCAGTCCCACCTCACCCAGCACTTTTCCCTGCAACCGCAGGAAGTGCTACACCTGACCCTACACTTCCCCCCTCATCCCCATCCCAGGCCCCAAGAAGACTTTCCACATCAAGCAGATGTTCACCTGCATATCTGCTAATGTGGTATAATGTATCCGCTGTTCCCGTTGTGGCCTCCTCTATATCGGGGAAACCAAGCGGAAGCTTGAGGACCGCTTTGCAGAACACCTATGCTCGGTTCGCACTAAACAACTGCACCTCCCAGTCGCGAACCATTTCAACTCCCCCTCCCATTCCGCAGATGACATGTCCATCCTGGGCCTCCAGCAGTGCCACAACGATGCCACCCAGAGTTTGCAGGAACAGCAACTCCTATTCTGCTTGGGAACCCTGCAGCCCAGTGGTATCAATATGGACTTCACAAGGTTCAAAATCTCCCCTCCCCCTACTGCATCCCAAAACCAGCCCAGCTTGTCCCCACCTCCCTAACCTGTCCTTCCTCCCACCCATCCCCTCCTCCCACCCCTATCTCCTACCTACTAACCTCATCCCGCCCCCTTGACCTGTCCGTCCTCCCTGGACTGACCTATCCCCTCCCTACCTCCCCCCCCACCCCCTACACTCACCCTTACTGGCTCCATCCCCGCCTCTTTGACCTGTCTGTTTCCTCTCCACCTATCTTCTCCTCTATCCATCTTCCATCCGCCTCCCCCTCTCTCCCTATTTATTTCAGAACCCCCTTCCCCTCCCCCATTTCTGAAGAAGGGTCTAGGCCCGAAACGTCAGCCTCTCTGCTCCTCTGACGCTGCTTGGCCTGCTGTGTTCATCCAGCTGTACACCTTGTAATCTCTGTGTGAATGAATATTGTTTTAAGGTGAATGTCTGGTATCTGTAGAGGCCCCATTCAGTCTGTTTTGGGTGGTGTTAGGCCTAGTTGATTGTTCTTCTAGAGTCGAGGTGTGAATTCGATTTTCGGGCTGAACAATGGTTCCAGGCTGCTATCTCTGTTGTCTGTGTATTTTTCTCAGAGCATAGCCCAGCTGCCTTTTTACATTTAAAAGTTTTTTTGAAAAGTCCAGGGTTTTGGTCCAGTATTTTAGATGATCGGGATTTTTGCTCAATCCTACAGTTTTTTCAGTCAGAGGCAAGTCAATGGGTACCATGGGTGGTTAAGCTGTATAGATATGGTAGGGACAGGGGTGAAGCTGGTTCAGGAAAGCATTAGTGATGGAACAGACTGATTTTTATGTGATTTCATAGCAGTATGCCTCCCCTTTGCAACGGTGCATTCATGATTAAAGAGCGGTTTTATGAATTATGAGTTTTGTCAGCTTGAATGCTTGATAGATTTCCTTAGGATAGTGAACTATTTAACGTTCATCTCACCTCATTACAAGCAGTTCTCTAGCTGATTGTTTGAAGGTGCAGGTCTGGAAGTTCCTGTGTAGGCACATTCCAGATGTTGGACTGAAAAAGACATGCACTCATTCCCATTCTGCCAATGTCAAGCTACGCCCAAATTATCCGCCAGCTCTTTTGCAAACAGCCAAAACAATAAATGGATGCAAATCACAAAACTGGCCAGTGCAGTAATTATGCAATTGGAGCAGAAGTAATGATGCTTTCCGAGCCCACAATCATTTACCATCTGGAGAAAATGAGGGCAGCACAACACATGAGGAAAACTACCACCTGCCCGTTCTGCTTCAAGTCGTGCATCATTTGAAAGTATATTGTGATTCTTTTACCTGGAAGTTCTGCATTATGGTTCTTTCAACCCACAGACATTAACAACTGAAGAAAGCAGCTCACTCCACCTTTACAACGACAGCTAGGGATGGACAATAAATACTGGTCTTGCCAGCAATCTCCACAATCCATGAATGAATTAACAAAAGCTCACGGTACTTTTCTTTTTATTCCTTGTTTACTGTGGGAACAACAGTCACATTCCTTGAGGCAAAACTACTTGATCAGTGAGCAGAGATAGTAGGAACTGCAGATGCTGGAGAATCTGAGATAACAAGGTGTTGAGCTGGATGAACACAGCAGGCCAAGCAGCAGAGGAGCAGGAAAGCTGACGTTTCTGAATAAGGGTGTAGGCCCAAAACGTCAGCTTTCCTGCTCCTCTGCTGCTTGGCCTGCTGTGTTCATCTAGCTCAACACCTTGTTGATCAGTGAGCATACTGCTAACCCTCCTGGAAAAACATAGACCAGCAGTCCTTTAACTCTTTCAGTTTGAACATTCTTATCCTTGTTTTCAGAACCCTCCATGGCCAACCTCCCTACTACATTTGTAATCTTTTTCAAGATTTCTCTGTTCATCCAATTATGATCTTTTACAGATCCCCAACTTTCACCACTCTGTCATGGTCTTAAGCTCTAGAGTTTCCTCCCCGTATCTCTCCACCTTTCTTCTTTTCTTAAGATGTTACCTTTTTGACCAAGCTTTTGACACTTACTGTCATATCACAATGCTAAAGGTGCAATGTAAGTAAAAATGCTGTTACTTCACATATTTGAATAACTGCAAGCTTGCTGCTTCTTTAACACAGTGGGATCATTTTCTGTGCATTAATTGCACTCTGCCAATAGAACAATCCAAAGAACTAGTCAATCTGGATTGGCTTATGCTCCAGCCATACTGTCTCCAAATTCATGAATTCCTCAATTTTCCTCAAAAATGTATTACTTAGCTGATGCAGATACACTGGGCTGACATCCTGGATGAGATAACACAGGCCCTGAAGTTGCTTGGAATGAGCAAGTTAAATTAAAAGACGCGTACCGTCCCAACATTGACTGTCACTGGTTAAGTTGTCCAGGGAAAGGATCTTGATGTAAGTGCTATGAAAATTCAACTGTCACTTCTCTGATGATGTGGACTCTTCATACATGTTACTTCATTGTAAACTTAATAATATTTGCAGAATTTCTTTGGGAATAGGAAAGGCCTTGAAGGGAAGTTTCTCCTTAAAAAGCTATCTCACGCTGCTTTCTTTCATCCTGTTCTGCTTCTCCAGCTCTTTCTCCATCAAATTGATAACATGTTAATGTTTATTTGCATTGAAGTAAGTTACAGGTCATCTGGAAATAGTATTACAATCTCTAGGGGTAAGAACTTCCATTGAGGAGTCAATCCCAATTTTCACATCTCAAAACATTTAAGCTTGATTCTAGTGCTGAGGAAGAGCTGGAAATGGCATGTAAAGCCAAGACCCATAGATTTTTGGGTGGTGCTTATAAACTCTCACTCTCTCTATTAAAGTCATTTTATCAGTGATGCAGTAATTGGTATATTTGGCAAAGTGTAGTAACATTTAATTTACATAGTATGAGAAAGTTATTCACGGAAGCAATTTATGTCAACTAGGTAAATATATACACTTGTTCAAGCTTTCAGCAAATTACTTAGTTTCATTAATACAATGATTGATTAGTTAAGTTGTGTTGACTAAAGTTCAAGTTCTGGTCTATATTGAGTTAGTTGATTGTGAACAGGGAACCTGTGAGGGCAATGCAAATGGCCTCAACTAAAAAAGGTAAAAACTAGCTATTGCTCCCATCTGTAATTGTTATCTAGTGGCTGGTGCTAGAAGGTTGTACATGTAGCTGTATAGTGAGAATAGAATCAGGTTCATATTTGGTACATTTCACAGGCAAACAGCCTGCTGCAAATGTTACAATTACAGAACAAATATCCACCAAATATGAAATCATATCCAAAAAGAAATCACACCTCAAGAAAATTGGCAAAGGAAAAATAACTTACTGGTTAAATAGTTTCCTCCGTGTAGAATTAATTGCACTGTCAATGCTAAAAATGGCTTCACGAATGGAAGACTCAACAAAGTGGTCACCAGTTCGTCCCCTCTCTGGAACTGTGAGAAAGAAAAGAACTTTGTCAAATAGAAATTAATTTTATTATAGATTCATTTAAAAAAGGGTCAGATATTTCATTAATTGTGTGTGGAACACAGAAATTTTTCCTGCTGGTCAAACTTCACAGCAATGTCCGATACATCAACATATATCCGTAATACTTGCTTTTTACCCTTATCCTGGATACTCGTAGGGCAGCAATTCTTGGGACTCAAACAAAATAATGGGATTTTGGTTACACTAACCATTAACCTGATATTCTAACTTCTACTGGTAATAAGTAAAGCCTGGTTGAAGTTCTTGTTTTCTCCACAATTGACAAATCAAGCTATCTGCCTAAGTTACTCTAACCAAACGCCTGTAACCATTCTTTTGTACAGAGGGAAAGACAAACAAACATGAACATTTTAAAAGATCAGTATATCATGCAGACACTGATAATCTCATCACCTTGATACGTAATCACCCAGGCAAATATCCACACATATCTGTAGTTATTCTAAGCAGGTCTATGTGGTTTGATTCTAACCAATCACGTTAAAAGAATTGTGGAAATGATCAAAGAGATACACTATTGCAAAATAAATCACTTACCAGTCACCCTTAGCAACATATTTGTTGTTGCTTGGCCAATCATATTCCGTGCAGCACACTCATATCTTCCTTCATCTGCTTGCCCAATATCCCTGATAGCAAGTGTCCCTTCTGCATTAACATGGAACTTGCCACTCTCTGTAATTTGAACTCCATCCTGTTTAACAAACAGTTACTAATAAGATATTTGTATACCCTACTTCAGAAATTAATTTTATATTTTCATTGAATATATTTTCCTAGCAAACCACCAAATTTTCCTCCACAAAATAAATTTTCAGAAAAGACAAAAACCTTCCTCTGCTGCCAAGGATAGCTGCTGACCACACATCCATGTGCAAAAAGCAAAATATTTATGAACATTTTTTTCTGAAACAGCAACAGACTTTTTTAAATAACCAATTTGAAGGAGAACCATGCATAAGTATCTCCTGTGAAATTCGTGTGATTTTTTTATTCATTCTTGAGATGCGGGCCTTACTGGTTATACCAGCATTTATTGCTTATTATAAATTGCCTCGGAGAAGGTGGTGGCTTTCTTGAACGACTGCAGTCTTTCGGGTGTAGGGATGCCCATGAGGCTGTTAGGAAAGGAATTCGAGGATTTTGACCAGGCAACAATGAAAGAACATGAAAAAAGTTCCAAGTCCAGATGGTGGGTGATTTGGACGGAAACATGCAGGTACTACTGTTTTCATGCATTTTCTGCCCTTGTCCTTCAAGGTGGTAGAGTTTGAGCGATTGGAAGGTACTGTTGAAGGAGCCAAGGTGAGTTACGCAGCAACACTTCCATCTCAAAGAACATTGGAGGAAATGGTTTTAGAATGGACTCCTCTGTTCAGTCTTAGCATTTTTTTCATGAGATGTTGGCTCATATAAAAAACACTGAAATTTTAGAAATCAATCTTATGAGATATTCCAGTCCTAATTGTATTATTCTCAAGAGAGTGCAGGACCAGAGAAACTTGGTTACATATGTACATAAGTCATTAAAGATGGCTACAAAGGAAGAAGGGAGGTTGGCTTCCATGATAGTATGGGCTATACGCACGACTTTCTGTCGTTGCTTACGGTCCTGAGCAGAGCAGTTACTGTACCAGGCCATTATGCACCCAGATAGAATGCATTTTATGGTGCATCTGTAGAGGTTGGTGAGGGTCCTTATGGACATGTTGAATTTCCTAAGCTGCCTGAGGAAGAAGAGGCGTTGTTGTGCCATCTTGACCGTTGCATCCACATGGGAAGTCCAGGACAGATTGTCGGTTATCGTCTCTCCTAGACACTTGACACTGTCGATCCTCTCTATTTCAGCTCTGTTGATACAGATGAGGATGTATCCTTCTCTTTTCTTCCTGAAGTCAATGATCAGTTCTTTTGTTTTGCTGGCATTGAGAGGTTCTTGTCATTGCACAATGACACCAAGCAATCTATCTCCTACTTCCTGTATTCTGACTCATCATTGTTTGGTATCTATCCTACCGCAGTGGTGTCATCAGCAAACTTGTAGATGGCATTGTTTGGAATTTAGCTACACAGTCGTAGGTGTACAGGGACTACAGTAGGGGGCTGAAAATGCATTCTTGCCGGGCACCATTGATGATGTTTATCATGGAGGAGGTACTGTTGTCTATTTTCACTGATTTTGGTCTTTGGGAAAATAAACTGTTAAGCCTTTAATTCAAAGGCAATAGGGTATAAAAATAGGGAGGTCTTGCTAAAACTGCACAACACAGTCGTCGGACTATACCTGGAATAAAGTGAACAGTTTTGGCTCCTTATCTGAGGAAAGATATGCTAGCATTGGAGGCAATCCAGAAAAGGTTCAGTGTACTCAATGGAGGTTAGGAGAATGAGAGACAACCTTATTGAAACAAACAAGATTCTGAGGGTACTTAATAGGATAGATGTGGAGAGGTTATTTCCCGTTGTGGGAGATTTTAGGACCAGAGGACATTATCTCAGAATAAGAGGTTGTCTATTTAAGACAGAGATAGAGTCATAGAGAGCACGGAAACAGACCCTTCGGTCCAACTTGTCCATGCTGACCAGATATTCTAAATTAATCTAGTCCCATTTTGCCAGCAGTTGGCACATATCCCTCTAAACCCTTCCTATTCATATACCCATCCTGATGTCTTTTAAATGTTGTAATTGTACCTGTCTCTATCACTTCCTCTGGTAGCTCATTCCACCCTCTGCATGAAAATTTGCCCCTTAAATCCCTTTTAAATCTTTCTCCTCTCACCTTAAACCTATGCCCTCTAGTTTTGGACTCCTCCACCCCAGGGAATAGATCTTGCCTATTTACCCTATCCTTGCTCGTTCTGATTTTACAAACATCTATAAGGTCACCCCTCTGCCTTCAAAGCTCCAGGGAAATTAGCTCCAGCCTATTCAGTCTCTCCCTATAGCTCCAACCATCCAACCCTGGCAACATCCTTGTAAATCTTTTCTGAACCCTTTCATGTTTCACAACATCCTTCCTATAGCAGGAGACCAGAATTGAAGGCTGTGTTCTAAAAGTGGCCTAACCAATGCCCTGTACAGCTGCAATATGACCTCCCAACTCCTGTACTCAATACATTGTCCAATAAAGGCAAGCATACCAAATGACGTCTTCACTATCCTATCTACGTGCGACTTCACTTTCAAGAAACTATGAACTTGCACTCCAAGGTCTGTTTGTTCATCAACACTCCCCAGGACCTTACCATTAAGTGTATAAGTCCTGGCCTGATTAGCCTTTCCAAACTGCAGCAACTCACATTCATCTAAATTAATAAATTAAACTCCATCTGCCACTCCTCAGCCCATTGGCGCGATGGGGAGTGATTTCTTCACTTAGAGGTTAGTAAACCTTTGGAATTATTTACCACAGAGGGCATTAAATCTAGCTCATAAAGTACAATCAAAGCTGAGATAGATGTTTAATTACTGAAAAATTCGAGGGTTCTAGTGAAAAGGCAGGGAAGTGGAGTTGAAGATTATCAAATTAGCCATGATCCCATTGAATGGCAAAGCAGTCTTGATGGGCTAAATTATCTACTTGTGCTCTTACATCTAATAGTTTCATGATTGCTTTATGGCTGAAGCTAGTTGTTATTACCTTCTAAAGTAGCCTGCCTCTTTAAGGCTGCTACTCAAGTATATCTTGTGTGGCTGTTGGAGTGGATGTGGGGAGGATCTTTCCTCTTACAGGAAAATTTAGAACTAAGAGCGTTTTTTAAAAAATAAAATTAGGAATGGCACATAAATTTAAAATTATTGCTCTCAGATGGTTGAGTGTCTTTGGAACTCTCTTCTTAAATGGTAATGGAAGTCCTTGATTATTTATAAGGCAAAAGTGGATTAATTCTTGTTATGCAAGGGGGTGATTGGTCATCAGTGGTAGGTGCAAATGCAGATTTGAGGTTACAATGAGGTCAGCCATGACCTTACTGAATGGTGGAACAGGCTCAAGGAGCTAAATGGCCTACATCTGCTCCAATGCACGTTCATTTGTGAGTAAGTATTGCCTGTGTCAGAATTTAATTGATCCCTGGTGATGGAAGCATCCAAATTGGTAACTAAAATATTCTGTATTAAAATCAGAACAAAAATAACACGCCTTCTGTTTCTCTAAATACTTTTAAAACTTTGAACTGTGAAATCTGGAGTCTAAGTATACATTAGATGTGTGATAAATGTGCACTCAAAATAAGATCATATGGGTCTGATGTTCTTGTGGAATGCACCTGGAGAACACATATTGTAGGCCCAAAGTAGAGTACATTCTATTCTTATTTTGACAGCACACAACTGAAAGCTAATATCAATGTTCTCAAAGATACTCTCAAAATCAGAGGTGTGAGGTATTACCAATGAAAGTAGCTTAAAACTCAAGCCACAATCCAAAGGAAGATAGATAAAACATTTGAAATAAAATGGCAATCCTTTAAGGAATTTTTAACTTGAATGTCTGAAGAATTAAAGATTCTGAAGAACATATGAATTTTTCAGTGTTCACCAATAAATAAGTTAAATATTTGCATGGGTGTGGCCTTCAAGTTGCGATTTTGAGAAACATTTTGTTACTTGAAAGCAACATAATTAGCAACAGCATTGTTGTTTATGATTTCCAATGTAACAAGGTGGCAAATTTGCATTTTGAACCACACACTGAAGAAAACTTTGAATAGCAGTTCCATTCCTCCATGGCAGGCAGAACTGAAAATTAAAGATGAAGTCAACTTTGAATAGTTGCTCACATTTCTTTGTGACTTTTTGAACAATATTATTCAAAGTCTTGAAGAGGCACTTGATCCAGTAACAGCGGTTTATATTTTATATGAAGTTGAATGTTACAGTGTTTTAATGCACCAATTATATTCTATGGATTAACAATTTCGGAAAAAAATGCTCAGAATGTATTTATTCACCATTGTTTTCTCCCTTACCTTTGTCCAGGTGATTATGGGATGTGGTTCTCCCTGAGCACTGCAGGGTATCTTTACATCTTGCCCAACCTCTGCAGTGATATCCCCAGGAATATCAGTAAACACTGGTATCACTGAAAAGAAATTGATAACATATTGTCAGAATTTCAGGCATGGGCCAAGAAACAGATTTGATTTTTTTTGTGCTGTTTTTATAAAAATGGCATGAATCCAGTTACCCCCCACATTTTACGGTTCAGCCTGGCCCATTGATTTCTACAAATGACATTTTATTCGTTCTGCCAACGCAGAAACTTTTAAGGTTGTTAGATTATTCATTTATCGTTCTACCATTATCCTTCAAAATGTTTATATTACTTTCAAACGATTCCAGTTTCAGCTGGTTCTTTTTGTCCACTTTTTAAGATGTTACTTTTCTGAAGGCAGTGGTTCATATTGTGCCAGTGACCACGCTTCATTACATTGTTCAAATATCAGTATGGACAAAATATAATATTTAGGACCTTCATTTTTCAGCAGCAGAGGGAGAGGCGACAGCGAGCTGCCAGGAATATATTTGGGCAGCGGCTGAATCCGAGACACTAAACGTGTAGTGTCTCCCACCCGCCCTCCTCCTCTAACCAAAAAAAAGGACTCTGTGGTGTGTTGGTAAGGTAAGGTTTTTATACTTTTTCTATTTCTTCTGTATCGTGTAATTGGTTAAAAATTTACTTTCTTTTTTTATTTATCTATTAATTGGTTATTTGAAAAGACCATAGCAGAGAAGTATTAGAAAGTATTTAACTCATAAATTGATATAAAGTAATAAAGTAATTAACTAAGTAGAGATGGCTGGACAGGAGATGTGCTGTAGCTGTATGATGTGGGAGCTGGCTGATCCCATAGTGAATGGCAGTGACCACATCTGCAGCAAGTGTTGGTTGCTGGAAGAACTCCGGCTCAGAGTTGAAGATCTGGAATCTGAGCTTCAAACACTGCGGCACATCTGGGAGGGGGAGAGTTACCTGGACGCTTTGTTTCAGGAGGCAGTCACACCTGGTAGATTAAGTAATTCAAATTCAGTTAGTGATCAGGGACAACAGGGTGTGACTGCAAGTGAGGCAGGTAAGGGGATCCTGAGTTCAGGAGTGGAGGAGCCTCAGCTTTTGACCTTATCCAAAAGGTACGAGATAATTGGTCCCTGTGTGGATGAGGAAAAGGGCTGCGGGGAGGATGAGCCAGCTCACCACGGCACCATGGTGCAGAAGGCCATTCAAGAGAGGGGAGCAAAAAGACAAGTGGTAGTTATAGGGGATTCTATAGTGAGGGGGATAGATAGTATCCTTTGCAAGCCGGATCGGGAGTCCCGCATGGTGTATTGCCTGCCCGGTGCCAGGGTGCAGGACATCTCTGACCGGCTTGAAAGGATATTGGAGCGGGAGGGGGAGGATCCAGTTGTTGTGGTCCACATTGGGACTAACAACATAGGCAAGGCTAGGATGGAGGACCTGTTTGGGGATTATCAAGCACTAGGAACGAAATTAAGGAATAGGTCCTCGAGGGTCATAATCTCCGGATTACTGCCCGAACCACGTGCAAATTGGCTTAGGGATAAGAAAATTAGGGAAGTAAACACATGGCTAAGGGAGTGGTGTGGGAAAGAGGGGTTCCATTTCATGGGGCATTGGCATCAGTTTTGGAACCGGAGGGATCTGTACCGATGGGACTGTCTCCACCTGAACCAATCTGGAACCAGTGTTCTAGCGAAAAGGATAAATAGGGTGGTCACTAGGACTTTAAACTAGTGAGTTGGGGGGAAGGGAAAGGAAAAATGACAGGGAGTATGATGGTAAATAAAAAGGTAAGCAGCAGGTTAGCATGTGTGCAGGAGGGTTTAAGTTCAAGGCAGACTATGAAAGAAGCAAAAAGGAAGGATAACTCAGGAGATATTATTAGAGATGTTGGAAATCATGAGGGTAAGAAAGCTAGCATAAAGGCACTTCACCTGAATGCTCGTAGCATTCGTAACAAGGTTGATGAGTTAACGGCACAAATCATCACGAACGAATATGATTTGGTAGCCATTACGGAGACATGGTTACAGTATGGTCACGACTGGGAGTTAAATATCCAAGGGTACCAGACTATTCGGAAGGACAGACAGGAAGGTAAGGGAGGTGGTGTAGCTCTGATATTCAAGGACGACATCAGGGCGGTGCTGAGAGATGATATGGGTTCTCTGGAGAATGAGGTTGAATCCATTTGGGTGGAAATTAGAAATTCTAAGAGGAAAACGTCACTGATAGGCGTAGTCTATAGGCCACCAAATAATAACATCAGTTTGGGACGGGCAATAGACAAAGAAATAACTAATGCCTGTAAAAATGGTATGGCACTTATCATGGGGGATTTTAATCTACATGTAGATTGGTCGAACCAGCTCGGTCAGGGTAGCCTTGAGGAGTTCGTTGAGTGTATCCGTGATAGTTTTCTTGAACAGTATGTAATGGAACCGACGAGGGAACAAGCTATCCTAGATCTGGTCCTGTGTAATGAGACAGGAATAATTAATGACCTCCTAGTTAGGGATCCTCTTGGAAGGAGTGATCACCGTATGGTTGAATTTAGAATACAGATGGAGAGTGTGAAGATAAAGTCCAATACCAGGGTCCTGTGCTGGAACAAGGGGAACTACAATAGAATGAGGGAGGACTTGGCTAAAGTAGACTGGAAACAAAGATTTTATGGTGGGACAGTTGACGAGCAGTGGAGGACTTTCAAAGCAATTTTTCAAAGTGCTCAGCAAAAGTATATTCCAGTGAAAAGGAAGGACTGTAAGAAAAGGGGTAATCTGCCATGGGTGTCTAAAGAAATAAGGGAGGCTATCAAATTGAAAGAGAAGGCATACAAAGTGGCCAAAAACAGCATGAAACTAGAAGATTGGGAAAACTTTAAAGGTCAACAGAAAGCCACAAAAAGAGCTTTAAAGAAAAGTAAGATAGAACATGAGAAAAAACTAGCACAGAATATAAAGACAGATAGCAAAAGTTTCTATAAATATATAAAATGAAAAAGAGTGGCTAAAGTAAACGTTGGCCCTTTAGAGGATGAGAAGGGGAATTTAGTTATGAGATATGATGAAATGGCCGAGGCATTGAACAGGTATTTTGTATCGGTCTTCACAGTAGAGGACACTAATAACATGCCAGTAATTGACAAAGAGACGAAGGTAGGTGAGGACCTGGAAACAATTGTGATTACAGAAGAGGTAGTGTTGGGCAAGCTAATGGAGCTAAGGATTGATATGTCTCCTGGCCCTGATGGAATGCATCCCAGGGTACTAAAAGAGATGGCGGGAGAAATAGCAGGTGCACTGGCGGTAATTTTCCAAAATTCACTGGACTCTGGGGCAGTCCTAGCAGATTGGAAAACAGCAAATGTGATGCCACTGTTTAAAAAGGGAAGTAGACAAAAGACGGGGAATTATAGACCGGTTAGCTTAACCTCTGTAGTGGGGAAGATGCTTGAGTCTATTATCAAGGAAGAAATAGCAAAGCATCTTGATAGAAATTGTCCCGTTGGGCAGACGCAGCATGGGTTCATGAAGGGCAGGTCATGTTTGACAAATCGTTTGGAATTCTATGAAGACATTACGAGCAAGGTGGACAATGGGAACCCAGTGGATGTGGTGTACCTAGATTTCCAAAAGGCCTTCGACAAGGTGCCGCACAAGAGGCTACCGCATAAGATAAGGATGCATGGCGTTAAGGGTAAAGTATTAGCATGGATAGAGGATTGGTTGACTGACAGGAAGCAAAGAGTGGGGATAAATGAGTGCTATTCTAGCTGGCAGTCAGTGACTAGTGGTGTGCCTCGGATCGGTGTTGGGACTGCAATTATTTACAATTTATATAGATGATTTGGAGTTGGGGACCACGTGTAGGGTGTCAATGTTTGCAGATGACACTAAGATGAGTGGCAGAGCAAAGTGTGCAGTGGACTGTGAAACTTTGCAGAGGAACATAGATATATTGAGTGAGTGGGCAAAGGTCTGGCAGATGGAATACAATGTAAATAAATGTGAAGTCATACATTTTGGTAGGAGTAATAGTAAAAAGGATTATTACTTGAATGATAAAAAGTTGCAGCATGCTGCTATGCAGAGGGACCTGGGTGTCCTTGTGCATGAATCACAGAAGGTAGGTCTGCAGGCACAACAAGTAAGTAGGAAGGCAAATGGAATTTTGTCCTTCATTGCTAAAGGGATTGAGATTAAAAGCAGAGAGGTTATGTTGCAGCTGTACAAGGTGCTGGTGAGGCCACACCTGGAGTACTGTGTGCAGTTTTGGTCTCCTTACTTGAGAAAGGATGTACTGGCACTGGAGGGGGTGCAAAGGAGGTTCACTAGGTTGATTCCAGAGTTGAGGGGGTTGGTTTATGAGGAGAGACTGAGTAGATTGGGATTATATTCATTGGAATTCAGAAGATTGAGGGGGGATCTTATAGAAACATATAAAATTATGAAAGGAATAGATAAGATAGAAGTAGAGAGGATGTTTCCACTGGCAGGTGAAGCTAGGACAAGAGGGCATAGCCTCAAGATTAGAGGGAGCAGATTTAGGACTGAATTGAGAAGGAACTTCTTCACCCAGAGGGTTGTTTATCTATGGAATTCCTTGCCCAGTGAAGTAGTTGACGCTACTTCAGTAAACGTTTTTAAAGATAAGGTAGATATTTTTTTGAACAATAAAGGAATTAAGGGATATGGTTGAGAACGCGGGTAAGTGGATCTGAGTCCACGAAAAGATCAGCCATGATCTTATTGAATGGCGGAGCAGGCTTGAAGGGCTGGACGGCCTACTCCTGCTCCTAGTTCTTATGTTCTTATAATGAATGCTTGATGTTAGAGCCAAATCTGACCTTATCATCACATAGTGATAAATATCCATTATTCATTCATGGAATGAGTCAGCATTTTTTGCCCATCCCTCGTTGCCCTTGAAGATGCTCAATGAGAATCTTGAATTATCATTAGTATTGGGAACTCTGATTCATATTTTCTTCCCTTACTTGTTCAGATCAAATGCAATATTAACTGTATTGCCCCATTGAAAAGTCTTACTCAATAATATAA